GAATGTTACATGACTTCATCGTGTGAGCGCGACATTAGCGGAGGGTCCAGCCAGGAATCCCAATCCTGCTGGCTCCTGATTAGCGGGAGAGGGGGCGCTCTGATGGGGCTTAAAGGAGAACTATGGGGGTCAGGGCTTTTCCCCATAGTTCTCCTTAGGGTAACGGGAGGACACAAACTAGCTTCCTCCCGTCACCCTAAGCTCAGTATACCGCGCTGGCGGAACGGGGAGAGGGGAATCCAGCCCCTCCCCTGTCACAGCAGAGAGCTGTGACAGGATCGAGAAGTGAGCGAGCGCCGGTATGTGTTCGCTCACCTCCCGATCTACTGAGCCGACCTGTGACAGTCTCATTGTCACAGGTCGGCTAGAACTATGAGGTGAGTGAAAAGCACCCCCCTCATAGTTCTCCTTTAATGACGGCATGATTTCGGGACAACTGACAGGTGACCGCGGATACACACAGGTTATTTTAACGTTCTCTGGTAAGTCCTTAAAGGAAAACTCCACTTTTGTTAAATTGATCACGCACGTGCAATGGTCACTTCGCAATCCAATGTCATTACAAATGGGCAAAAAAAATTCCGTACATCTTTCCCCTGCTGGACTACAGAACACTCCTTATTATGTTATAAAGATGGGCAGCGCAGGTGGCATTTCATTGCAGCAGCGTTGTCATCTCACTAGAGGAAGTTAGAAGCTCGCTGGATTTCTGTCAGGAGAGGAGTTCTTAAAGGACAACTCCAGGATTCTCAAAAGTTAACCCTTACAAGTAGGGCTACCCCCGCACGGCAAGGGTTACCTGTTCCTTTTGGTCTAGGGAATGGTATTATGAAGATACACCTGATCATCGGTCCCATGGCAGACAGCGCTCACGTCTCTCCCCCTCCAATCCGGCTATGCTGTGTCCCTCGGTGTCCTCACATCTAATGCAGGAGAATGGGCTTGCCCCTAGAGGTCCAAAACCAACATATAAACCTTTTAAAAATCCTGACGTTCCTCTGTAAAGACCATGGCGTAAGTGAATACTGCTCTTTCTTAGAGCCCCCGTACACTAAACTACCATTAGGCAGTGGGGTGCAGCTCGCACTGGGTGACACCAAAATAACTTAACGATTATTTTGGTGTCACCCTCTCCTAAAAGTCAGGCACTCGGTCATTGCACGAGAGCCCGAAAGCAACACGGGGGGTGGGGGTTTACCTGATGGCATACCTGATCCCGCCGGGTCAATATCGCTATTTATTATTTATATTTTTTAATCTCTTTAGTGGCATCCATCACCAAGATGGCTGCCTGCAGTGCAGTACATCACCATGCATGTGAGATGATTTCACACCACGGACATCATTTAGCATGAGCGGCAGCTACACCGGGTGACACCCACCCTGGTGCCAACGCTGGCATTATGTGCTGCATTTAAAAGAGGTGGAGGGGAACGCTAATTTATTTTTTTATTTTTTGGGGGGAGCCCAAGTTGAGCCTTAAAATATGGATGACCACTAAAGTATGCGCTTATTTACAGGAAGTGCCATATAAATTTGGAACTCCAAAAAAGCAAAACGTTAAAAGGAGAACTATGAGGTGAGTGATTTTCACTCCTCCTCATAGTTCGAGCCGACGTGTGACAATGAGACTGTCACAGGTCGTCTCAATAGATCGGGAAGTAAGCGAACACACACCATCACTCGCTCACTTCTCGATCATCTCCCTGCAGAGAGCCATGACTGTCACTCACAGCTCCCCGCAGGGATTACCCGCCTCCCCGCTCCTATCCTCCAGCGCTGACTGGCGGACGGGGGAGGGGGCGGGCACAGCTGGCTCTGCCTCTAGATAGGCTGAGCCAGCTGTCAATCACGCAGCTGGGTGGATCTTGACAGTAATGTTGGGATCCGTTCAAGCTGCGGCGCTCTCAGTATACGGCAAGCTGTAGCTGGCGATATACTGAGCTTTGGGTGATGGGAGGACGCTACTATATGTCCTCCTGTGACCCTAAGGAGAACTATGAGGGGAAAACACTGACCCCATAGTTTTCCTTTAAGCTACATGATTTTAAATGTAACAATATTTGTTACATTTAAGTACGCACCCGGTGAAAGAATACCAGAGTTACTTTTTACGTTTCACCTAAAAAAAAAAACATGTTGCCGAAGCAAAATGCCGTACACAACGTCTTTCCAAAACGCATGTGCTCCATTATTAGATGACAGTTTAACGAGGACAGAGAAGGGCGGCATCCAGCAAGCCAGCAGATAATAAGAACTATCCAAGAGATCTGCCAGGAGATTGGCTCACATCTGCTGAGCTGGAAGGAAACAATGCGCCGCTATTCTGTGCAAAATAAAAATATCCCAGGCTGCAAATAAGATTATATAAAAAGACTTATCTAATGTGGATGAGTCCAAGTATCATCTCACTATATGAGCACCGGGGAATGAAACACAGCTGTGGAATTATGTAAACTCCGGAATCTGCAATCCACTCCCTCCCCC